AGAGTAGCAAACACTTCCGGAATTAAAATTAAGGGGAAAATCCATGTATTTTTTAAAAAAATAATCCTTAGAACAATCTGGTTATACAAGTTATACAAGTGAACACTGCAGTGACATTTATAACACACACTGACTGGTCAGGGTTGCTGCTCTCTGAGTGCAGAGTGGGAAATGGCATTTTGCTCCCTTATAACGGAGAAGAACACCGAAGCCACCAAACTCCGGCCTACAGGCAGGGATACATGCTCTCTGCCACAGCACAGCAACATCTGAAATACTACAATGCTTTGATTCCTTGAATTTTTCAGAGCTCACAGCAACAACAACAACAACAAAGAATGTGTGCATAAACTAAGGATATAGAGAAACAGTTTCTATCCAGATAGGGCAGGATTTATTATCCACCACTTGGACTACAGAACTTCCTCCATTTGTTTCCGTGAGATTTCTCCTGAAGTGCAGACATTACATAATGTGCAAACACTGCAAGGCCTCCTACAAGTCAAGCTGGCAAGGTAAAGGTCCTGGTTCGGAAGAGCCCACTAATCACTGCAAAGGGCAGCTCTTCCACCACCAACACTATCAGCAGGGACCTTCTTCTATTTGTTGTAAGCAAGGCAGGGGTCACTTGAAGGATGGCCAGAGCACCTGGACAAAGGTTGCTTCTGTGACAGTTGCTGCAAGAGGAGGCTGGGTGGCACTGCAAACCCAGAGGGGACAGGTGGAAGGAGCTGGACAAGATGTTTGAGATGCTTGGTTAAGGATCAGCCTGCGGTCACTACTGGCAGACTGAGTTAAGTATCCAAGTAGAGAATGAACTAAGAATCCACTTCTTTGCCTTTATATGGAGCTACACAGACCAGGCAGGTAACTGGAAAAACACAGACTACTAAAGCGAAGGTTACTTGGGATATCAGAAAGCTGAATCTACAGGCAAGGGATTAGAAGACCAGAGAAGAAAAGGATGTTAGAAATAAGAGAGCTGTTTTCCAAGTTTACAAGTTGGTTGTTAGGAATAGAAATGAATAAAGTTCAGTCTGGCTTACAGATTTTGCGCATGATATAACTAATATGGTTGTGTGGAAAGCAGGCCCACACTCCTCAAGGGACAATGTGATTGGAAGGCTCTGGGTGCTTTGGGTCAGAGAGACACAGGCACAAAAACTGCATGGATACATGGGAAATTAAGTAACAACCTCCTGAACAACCAATGGGTCACAGAGGAAATTAAGGAATTATACAGTTTCTACAATTAAACAACAATGCCAATATAACATATCAGAACTTATATAATTCAATGCAAGAAATCCTGTGGGGGGAATTTATAGCAGTGATTTCCACAGGAGAAAAACAGAGTGAGCTCAAATAAATAACCTAATGTTGAAACTCAAACTTCTTGAAAAAGAAGAGGAAGTTAAACTTAAAGTGCATTTGAGGGAGGAAATTATAAAGATCAGAGCAGAAAATAATGCAATTGAGTCTAAGAAAACAATAAAAAAATCACTGAATTGAAGATGTGGTTCTTTGAAAGATTAAATAAAATTGCTAAACCCTTAGCCAAATTTATTGAAAAAAAGAAAGAAAAGATTCAAATCCAAGCAATTAGGAATGAAAAGGTTGAAATCACAATGGATCTTGCAGAAACACAGATCATCAACACCTACTTCAAGAACCTGTACTCTAATAAGATGGATGACAGAAGAAATGGACAGATTCCTAGATATATATGACAAAAGCTGAATCAAGAAGATACAAAAATTCTAAATAACCCAATATCAGTTAATGAAATTGAAGAAATTATTTCAAAAGCTATCAACAAAGAAAAGCTCAAGTTCTGATGGATTCACTGCTGAATTCTGTAGAAACTAGAGGATAGCTAACACCACTACTCCTCAAACTCTTTAGTGAAATTGAAAGGGAAGCAATACTCACAAATTCATTCCTGGAAGCAAGCATTACCCTGATACCAAAATCAGAGAAATGATCCAACCGAAAAAGAGACTACAGACTAATCTCCCTAATGAACATAGACGCAAAAATCCTCAATAAGATACTGGTAAATACAATGTAGCAAGTCATCAAGCTCATACACCCTGACCAAGTAGGGTTCATCCCAGGGATGCAGGGATGGTTCAACATATGCAGATTAATAAATGTAATTCAACACATTAACAGAACATGATCATCTTAAAAGATGCACAAAGAGCCTTTGACAAAGTCCAACACCGATTCATGGTAAAAGTGCTAAAGAAAACTGGAAGAGAAGGTATTTATCTCAATCTGATAAAAGTCATCTAAGAAAAACCTACAGCCAACATCATAGTAAATGGTCAAAAATGGAAAGCTTTCATTCTAATATCAGGAACAAGACAAGGATGCCCACTATTGCATTCTTATTAACTATAGCTCTAGAAATATTAGTGAGAGCCATTAGAAAAGAGAAAGAAATGGAATAGGGATAGAAAAAGAAGTTAAATTGTCATTTTTTTTTTGGAAAAACTCCACCAAAAGATTCCTAGAATTAATAACCAAATTCAGTGGCATAGCAGGATACAAAGTCAATGCTCATAAATCAATAGCATTTCTATACACAAATAACAGACTCACTGAGAGAGAAATTAGGGAAACAACACATTCACAACAGAATTAAAAAAAAAGAGAAATACTTAGGAATCAACCTAACAAAGGAAACAAAAGACCTTTATATTGAAAACTACCTTATTTTGAAAAAGGAGATTGAATACAATATGGGAAAAATGGAAAGATATTTTAGCTCTTGGGCAGGCAGAACCAATATAATTGAAAATAGCCAAACTTCCAAAACTGTTACACAGATTTAATGCAATCCCAATCAAAACACCAATAGCATACCTCATACAACTATAGAAAACAATCCTAAAATTTATTTGGAACCAGAAGAGACTTCGAATAGCAAAAGCATTTCTGGGCAACAAAGGCAGGGCAAGAGGCATCACAATCTGTGATTTGAAACTATGTACACTACATAGCTATCATGACAAAACAGCATGGTATTAGCAAAAAACAGACCTAAGGAAGGCTCAGTGGACAGAACAGAAGATACAGAAACAACTCCAAACACACTCAACTTGTCTTTGACAAAGGGCACAAACACTTTTACTGGAAGGAAGACAGCCTCTTTAATAAATGGTGCTAGGAAAACTGGCTTTCTACATGCCAAAGATTAAACCTAGACCCATATCTCTCACCATGCACTACACTAAAATTGAAATGAATCAAAGATCTAAATATTAAAATAGAAACAATCTGCTGGAAGACAGAATAGGTGAATCTCTTGAAGTCATAGGTGTAGGCAAAGACTTTACAAATAGAATGCTGATCACACAGGAAATATTACAAAGAATCAACAACTGGGATCACATCAAATTAAAAAGCTTTTGCATAGCAAAACAAACCACCAACAGGGCGAGCAGACAACCCACAAAGTGGGAAATTTTTTTTTTACCAGCTGTTCCTCAGACAAAGGACTAATATCTAGAATATATAAAGAACAAAACAAAAAAAAACAAAACAAGCCCCCCAAAAAACAACCCAAAAAACAAAAAACAGGACACCCAAATAAAGACCCAATTCAAAAGTGGGCAACTGAAATGAACAGACACTTCTCAGATGAAGAAGTGCAAACGGCAAATAAATATTTGAAAAATGGTTGACATCACAGGTCACTCGAGAGATACAAATTAGAACAACACTGAGATTCCACCTCACCCCAGAAGGAATGGCTGCTCTCAAGAAATCAACCAATAACAAATGCTGGCGGGGCTGTTGGGAGAAAGGAACCCTTCTCCACTGTTCATGGGAGTGTAGACTGGTGCAACCGCTGTGGAAATTAGTGTGGAGATTCCTCAAAAAACTAGCCAGCAATTCCCCTTCTTGGTATCTCCCTGAAAGAGTTAAAAGCATCGTACAATATATGCACACCCATGTTTATAGCAGCACAATTTGTAACAGCCAGCTCTTGAAACAGCCCCAGTGCCATCAGCAGACGAATGGATAAAGAAAATGTGGTTTTATATACACTGGAGTACTGCACTGCCATAAAGAAGGATGAACTTGAGAGACCTTTAGGTAAATGGATGGACCCTGAGAACATAATTTGAAGTGAAATAAATCAGCCACAGTTTAAATATCCCATTGTTTCTCTGGTGTGAGAAACCCAAAGGGTAAATAAGGACCAAAATGGATGAGAGACATTAGGAAGTAGGAAGAACATGTTCAAGGGGCAAGGTGAACAAGGGAGGGGAAAGGGGAAGAGAAGGAAAAGGCAAAAAGAAGAGAGTAGAAGGAAACCATGGTAGCTTTTGTAAATGGAGAGGGGAAGAAGAAATGGAGAAAAAAGAAAAATCAAAATATATTATGTATAGGTACAAATTCCCTATGATGAATGTGATCATTATGTATATTAAAAGTGTACCAATAAAATTCATTAAAAAATAAAAAAACTTTTGGAGGCAAACAGCAAAAACATTCCCTGTCACATTCAGGAAATACAATCCGTAAACTTCTCAATATTAAAATACGTTACCATGATGATTATTCATTCCTTTTATAATTAAAACTTCCCTAACAACATTTACAGGGAGAAGATAAAAACACAACTTCTGGATAAGTCACAACTCTACTGGAATACGGGCCTGGTTTTCTTAGTGAGTTGTGCCACACCCTGGACAGCCGCAAGTCCCCTGCAGGAACTGTGCACTGCGCACAGAACGGCCCCTCACCATGCTGTAGCCAGGGCACGAATCAGAAGCAGTGGTAAAAGCAAAGTTCCATGGGACTTTTCCACCGGCTTTTCAGAACTCACCTCACCTCTTCTAGTACTCATTTTATTGATTTCTAGTTTTAAACTTGTGAGAGGAAAAAAAACTCAACAAATAATTGCTTGTTTGCTAGTCATTGACTGTCTGAGATTTACACTTGCTTATACAATAATGAATATACACCTTTAAAAGTGTGCTCACCAAGGCAGAACGGTTGTATTACATTTGTCAGCGTTAGCTCAGCCTTCAGGTTCATCACTCGAAGGACAAGGCTGATTAACCAGGACTTGACAATGTCAGGACACGGTGTAAGCAGCAAGTAGTCAGTAGCGTAGAGCACGTATCGAAACCAGCACAGAAGTGGTGTGAAAATCCTGCCGTTGGGCGTCTCAGCCATTCGCTCAATTGCAGGGAACAGCAGAAAAGCACGAATGACCTACAATAAAGCAAGAACCTCTGATGAGAAGTTTTCTTAAGGGATAGCCCGTTGCTTTATTATTTTCTATATGGTAGTGAGAAATGACTGGGTTTTAGAATACAGCTGGAGACCCATTCAGACTGGGGAATGACATTCCTAGATAACTCCTAGATTGCATTAGTAACTCATAATCCCCTTGAAAGACAGCTGAAATTAGGAACTGATATGCCATTTTAGCAGTTCTGTTAACCGGATTGACCAATGCTGATATCTGAAGAAATCAATCATATAAAAGTCTATTTCTACTCAGCAATTTTTTATTGATTATACTTGGAGAGTGTTCTTTAGAAAATCTCTTCTATTCCTGCATGTTTTCAGCCAAGCATAATCTTAAACTGAACATATTCCTAAGAATGGGTTCAACCTTAATAAAGTACAAGGCAGGTACCAGGGAAGCTGGGAATCTCTACTAACCCGGCAAAATATTTAAGGACAAGAATATCATTTCAGCTCAATGCACCAGAATAACAGAAAACACATTTTAATTACTCTGCAGAAGAAAAAAAGAGCACATATAAAGCTATTTTAAGTGCACCATTATTTACTCCATTATTATTTTCTGAAATTAATATAAATATACACACATATAAATAATTTCTAAAGGGATCAGAAAAGTAAAGATAGTTACATACAATTCCTATCAAGAGAGGAATATAAATTAGATCCAATTATTACAAGACCATAGAACACTTTTCTAAAACCATATCTTAAATTGTTAAGTATAACACATATGGAAGGAAGTATGATTAAAAAATACAGTGAATATTTATTTTAAAAAATTTTTATTACAATAAAAGACATCTTGCCATTTATCCTTCTTCTATACTTCTTTGAACACACTTCTTATCTCCTCGTTCTTGTCCATTTCTGAAGCAGTTCTGCCAGTCCTCTTTCATGTCTTTAGTGTCTGGGTGTGGATGACGGGCTTACTGAAGAGGGAAGACCCAGTCCAGATGTGGACAGCACCAATCAATGGGCCTGTGGTCTGGATGGAATAAAAGGGGAAGAAGGAAAGCTACTTTGCTTTCTGCCTGCCATGCCATGAACTGTTTCTTCTCTGCCATGTCACCCTGCCTTGCAGCCACACTATAGGCTGAAATCTCTATACACCGAGGTGAAATAAATCTTTTCTCCTTTAACCTGTGGGTGTTGAGTATTTTGTCCCAGCGAGGAGAAAATAACTAAGGGAGTGTCTGAAGGTAATATCACCAAACTGTGGAGTTCCCACATGGCTGCCTTCTTGAATTCTTAACTTTCAGAGGTCCACTAGCAATTTGTCAAGTACAGTTCAGCTTTTCCTACAGTGGCAGTGATTTCTTCTCAAAAAAATCTATGCTCTGGCAGGCACGATACACTGTATTTCCTTGCCCACCTCTCTAATCTTTGGGGACAGTGGTTTGCCTTGTGTCCTCTCATTTCTTTTTTTTTTCTTTTTATTGAGTTTATTGGTACAATCCAGGTATACAGTACAGTTACATTCATCACTGGAATTCTGTACCTTTACATAATAGGTCTTGATTCTCATTTTTCCCCTTGTCCCTGCCCTCCCTTCACCCATTCCTCCCCTCCCCATTTACAAACACTTTGTTTCCATTTTTTCAGTTTCTCATATTTTTTTCCTCTCCCTTATTACCTTTCCCCCACCCTTCCCACTTGCCCTATACCTTCAGCCCTTTATTTCCTATTTCACATTATTAATTATCTCATTAGGATCCTGTGTACCATTATAGTTTTTCACACCATAGAAACTATTTGGTATTTCAGTTAAAGAAATCTCTGTATGAACATTAAAAATAGGGAATCCTAAAATAAAACTAAAAAGGAAAGCAAAAGAGAAAAGGCAATGATGTAACATTAAAATAATCCTTAATTCTGGAGATGAAAATGGTCCCTGAACATATTTAAATTGCTTCTTGCTCTTATAGTCTTATCTTACTCTTTTTTTTCATTATTTAGAGAATACTTTATTAGTTTCTGTAATCAAACCCATGAAGACATGACCTTACATATTTAGTACGATGTTACCCCTGTATACATGGAAAAAAAATAAAAAATAAAAATAAAAATAAATGAATATTTCTAGACCAATATGGCTGTCCATTTCTGTACAATGC